GGCGGTTCCCTCGGGTTCCCTTACACTCCTGCACATCCCTTCGTTCTCCAGGAACTTAGTTGGTGTCGGCTGTCTTCAGGACCTCGGCGTCACCACTACGTTCCCTGGTCACGACTGGTATGCGGTTTGTTCCGAGGCCGCCTCAGGTGCCCCCCTTGCGGCATTCCCCCGGGACCCTGTGTCTGGCCTATTTACGCTGGACACTGCTTCCCCCCCCTGGCAGGCGAGTCCTCCTCCGGTCCTGCGTCCACTCAGGTAGCTGCGGCCTGCTCGTGTTGGTCGCTCACTCACCTGTCCCTGTTGTGGCACCACCGTCTAGGTCACCCGCGCTCCCCTGCCTGCGTCACATGTCTCAGCACGGTCTAGTCCTCGGCCTCCCTGCGTCGCTCCCTGCTCTCCCTCCCTCGCCTGCGCCGCCGTGCACGCCCTGCGTCGAGGGCCGGCTGCGCCGTGCTCCTCACTCCTCCTCACTTTGCCCTGCCACTGCACCCCTTCAGACCCTGGACTTGGACGTCTGGGCCCAGCCTCTGTCCCTGAGCTGCGTCGTGAGCGCTACTTTCTTGTGCTCGTTGACGACTTCACGCGCTACACCACGGTGTTTCCCATGGAGCGGAAGGCCGACGTGCCTGACTTTCTTATCCCGTGGCTCGTCGCTACGCGCCTCCACCGCGGTCTCCCTGTGTGCTGTGTCTCCACTTCGACCGTGGCGGAGAGTTCGCCTCTGGTCGGCTGGGTCAGTTCTGACGTGCGGAGGGTACTCCCCGCAGCAGAATGGGGTCGTTGAGCGTTGCATCGGTTTGGTCATGGAGGTGGCTCATACCTCCATGATCCATGCCGGTGCACCCCATTTTCTGTGGCCGTTCGCCGTTCGCTACGCCGCTCACCATCTTAACCTCTGGCCTCGGTCTCAGCGGCCACAGCTTTCACCGACCCTCCTTTGGACCGGAATCCCTGGTGGCGCATCTGCGTTCCACGTCTGGGGCTGCCTTGCTCACGTCCGTGCCTCCGGCACGAACAAGCTCACTGCCCGCACCGTCCCCTATGTCTTCCTCGGTTTCCCCCTTGACTCGTCTAACTGGCACTTCTACCACCCGCCGTCTCACCGCTTCCTTCACTCCCGTAACGTCACTTTCGACGAGTCTGACTCCTTTTTCCACCGCTTTCCTCACCGAGGTCTCCCGGTTTCCCCCCCCCCCATTTTTTCTGGTTCCCACTCCCCCAATTGCCCCTGCTCCCCTTCCTACCCGTCCTGCTCCATCTAGTGTGTCTCACGTCACTCCCCTCCCATCGGTTGTCCTGGTCGAGGAGTCGGCTAACTCCGGTGGCCCTGCGGCACTGTCTGCGCCACCTGTCCCTCCCCTGATGTCTCCTCCCTCGTTGCAGCCGTCGCCGCAGCCGCAGCCGCCACCGCAGCCGCTGTCGTTACTGCCGCTGCAGCCGCTGCCGTTACTGCCGCTGCAGCCGCAGCCGTCGTCACAGCTGCGGCTGTTTGTGGACTCTGGGGGTGCTGGATTTGGAGAGGGTGCTAGTCCTGGGGCTCCTTTCGTGGCTTGTCTCGGCTGGCTCGGGGGTGGCACCGGCACTTGAGACGTTTCTAGTTTTGGGGGTACGAGCGTGGAGTGTTCCGGAGGTAGCAGTGGTGCAGCTGGTGGTCCAAGTGTCGTCGTTGAGCAGCAGCAGCAGCAGCAGCAGCAGTCGCTGCCGGTATCCGCCCTTCGCCTGCTCGCCTGCGCCTCCCTCGCCGTCTCCCCCTCTTCTTGTTCACGCTCCTGTGTTTCCTCCGCCGGACTCATCCCCAGCTCGTTTCCCCACTCGTTCCCCTCCTGTTACTCCTCCTCTGTCTCCTAACCCGATGCCTCCGTCTCACGTCTGGTCTCGCCGTCCCTCTCGTGCTCGTCTTGTCTCTCCTGTTCAGCGTTCTCACCCTATGTTGTTCAGCGTTCTCACCCTATGTTGCTTCGTTCCCAGGCGTCTCGTCCTCCCCGTTTGCCTTCGCCTCCTCCGTCGTCGCTCACTGTCGGGCCTCCCCCTTTGTCTGACTACCTTCGTGCTGCTCGTCCTCTTGTTCCTCGGGTCCTTGACTCCCTCGTTACTGACCCGTCTGTTCCTGTCTCCGGTCTTGACGCTCTTGTAGTTGCTGTCGTTGAATTTGCCTCTACTCGCCGCCTTCACTTCGCTACCGCTCTGGTCTCTGACCCTGTCTGTCCTCCGTCCGTCGGAGGTGCTCCTGCCCTTGGCAGTGACGTCCTAGAGGACAGGCAATACGAGCTTGCTTTCTTGTCAGAGGCTACTCCCCATCTCTGTTCCATCGTGCTAGTCCCTAAGGGTGACCCAGACGCCTTTGACATCCTGACCCCTCGCACCTACGCTGAGGCGACCTCGGGACCCTGGGCCTCTTAGTGGATAGCTACCATGGAGCAGGAGATGGCATCTTGGAGGGCTACCGGCACCTACGTCGACGTAGTTCCCCCACCTGGGGTGAACGTAGTCGATGGCAGGTGGCTCTTCAAGGTGAAGCGCCCCCCTGGAGAGCTCCCAGTGTTCAAGGCGCGCTACGTGGCTAGAGGCTTCAGTCAGCGAGAGGGGGTGGACTTCTTTCAGACCTTCGCCCCGACCCCGAAGATGACTACTCTTCCGGCGCTGCACACGTAGCAGCATAGCGTGACTACGAGCTTCATTCCCTCGACTTCTCCACTGCTTTCCTTCAGGGCTACCGGCACCTACGTCGACGTAGTTCCCCCACCTGGGGTGAATGTAGTCGATGGCCGGTGGCTCTTCAAGGTGAAGCGCCCCCCTGGAGAGCTCCCAGTGTTCAAGGCGCGCTACGTGGCTAGAGGCTTCAGTCAGCGAGAGGGGGTGGACTTCTTTCAGACCTTCGACCCGACCCCGAAGATGACTGCTCTTCCGGCGCTGCACACGTAGCAGCATAGCGTGAATACGAGCTTCATTCCCTCGACTTCTCCACTGCTTTCCTTCAGGGCAGCCTACACGAGCAGGTCTTCCTGCGCCGCCCTCAGGGCTTCACCGGTACTTTCCCTCCTGGGACCCAGTGGCTCCTCCGGCGCCCAGTCTATGGCTTGCGACAGGCGCCCCATAAGTGGCACGACACGCTGCATGCCACACTAGCTGATCTGCAGTTCTTTCCGTCCTCTGCGAACCCTTCGCTCTTCGTTCGTGCTGGCCAGACTCCGTTCTACATCCTTGTATACGTAGACGACCTGGTCTTTGCTACAGCAGCCAGAGACGCGCTGGCCTCCATGAAGGCTGAGCTGCTGAGGCGACACAGCTACACTGACCTGGGAGAGTTGCGCCGCTACCTTGTCCTGCAGATCTCCAGGGACAGAGCAGCGCGCACCATCACTCTCACACAGTCACACTTGGTGCGACAGGTCCTTCAGAGGTTCGGTCTTCAGTTCTCCTCCGCGCAGCCTACACCTCTGCCTGTAGACCACAGGCTCTCAGCTCCAGTTCCTGAGGAGTCAGCAGAGCCCAGTGGTCCTTACGCAGAGCTGGTGGGTTGCCTCATGTACCTGATGACTTGCACTCGCCCAGATCTCGCATACTCGCTCAGCATCCTGGCCCGCTTTGTGGCCACAGGCAGACACCGACCGCAGCACTGGTCGGTCGCTAAGAGGGTTTTGCGTTATCTTGCAAGTACATCGGCCATGGGGCTAGTGCTGGGAGGACGCAGGCCAGTGGTCCTTACTTGGCACACAGACGCTTCTTGGGCAGACGACGCTGAGACCCTCCGGTTCTCCCAGGGCTACTGCTTTAGCCTTGGTGCTGGCTGACCTTCTTGCTGGCCGATTTAGGTGAGCAGCCTAGCTCTACCCCGGTTCTGTACGCTGACAACAGGGCCATGATCCTCTTTTGTCAGGAGCCTCGACTGGAGGGCAGAGCGAAGCACATCCAGTTGCGGTACTTCCTCCTGCGCGAGCTACAGCAGCGTTGCCAGGCCCGCGTAGTACACTTGGCCTCCGGTGCCAACACAGCTGATATCTTTATTAAGGCGCTTCCGCTTAGAGATCATCAGCGGCACTACTTGCAGTTAGGTCTAGTCCCTGTTGACTCTCACTTGCTAGGCCCTTGATTGTGTACTCCTTTGTATTTATGCCTTCCGGACTGGCCTTGTGGCGTTTCCTCCAGTGGTTGGACTAGTAGTGCTGCCCTGGTTTGCTCTTTCTTGCTTGTACTCTTGCTGACTGGTCTTCGGGCCCCTGCCTCAGAGGTTGGACTAGTAGTGCCACCCTGAGCTGCGTGTTTCTTGCTCAGCATTACCCTTTATACGTATGTTGTTATGTATAAGTTTTATGCTAGATAGTGTATGTTCTTAGGGGGTACAACCCAAATGCTATATCTCCCCTGTTCTCCCTTCTTCTAATCATTCTTTCTAGTCCAAACAATTTCTCCATAGGAGCTAAGGGATGCATGCATGGATTATTTTAAATGCGTGGGTGCTAAGGACCAATGATGGTCAAAGCATTAACGGGTAAGCATTCATGTATATTTTGTAAAATTTGGTCTCATCTATACAGTGCAAACTTGGTGGGTGCGAGAGGTGGGACTTGGCGCGGGCAATAACGAATCGTCCAAATGAAACCCACAGAAACTGGCGAAGATGCCTACTGCGAGCCTGTTCTGTTCTGATCTGACAGACCAGAATGATGGCTGGCCTATGCTGCCGCCAAAACTGTCAAGCCTTGAAGGGAGGTTGGTCCTGTCCGTTTATGGGAATTGTTTCTTCCTCGGGGTGAGCGTGCCCGTTTAGACACACTCATGCGATTAGTTTCGCGTCTAAGTGCGTCACAGTATCGCCAAATATCCCCACACCAGTGAACACTTTTAGCAATTACACCGGAACCGAAGTGTCCATCGAAGTTAGAAATATCTTAGCAAAGTCAACCCCGCCAATTCCCTACCCCATCACAGTGCCACCTGTCCGTGCAGCAGTCATCCCACTAGCCAAAAGCCACTCCCCCTCCCTTCCTCCCTCCCCCCCCATTCTTGATGCGCTAAGCGCCGCGGTGAAATGTGCTGGCCTCCCGTTGAATCCTAATTTCGCGGGCATATCACCGCTGGAAATGCGCCACCTACAACAGTCACACGACCACGCATCCCTCACACGCCGTCCTAACTGTTCCTAATGCTCATGCGACTTTTCCGGCTATGCGAAGTACAGTAGCTTATACCACGCGTGGCGATTAAACATCTGGTCGCGATGCGCATGTGTGCCGTCCAGCGACAGGGCATCTAAGCGACAGCGGCGAATCAACTCATTGCGGTTATGATGCTCGCTGTTGTCGCGCGGCCCCGCTATAGTCGCCCGGTCTCGCTATAGCCCCACATTGTTTGCCCTGCTACTTTCCTCGTCGTCTCGTCGTCGTGTCCTTGTCGCCACAGCCACCCTACGTTCTGTAGTGTCCGCCACAGCCGCGTTAGTTTCTGTGTGTCACCCACAGCCTTATCCTCAGATCCCCTCCCCCCTCCACTCGCCCTCCCCGCCTCTCCCCCTCTCCCCATATCTCCCTCTCCCACTCTCCCCCTCACCCCCTCTCCCCCTCTCCCTCTCCCCCATCCCCCCTCTCCCCCTCTCACACGCCACCATCGGGAGGTACTTAGGTCTTGCGTCTCATTAGTTGGCTCCCTCTCCGCAAGCAGCGGGTCTCGAGGGACACCTTTAATCTCCTCCCTCGCTCCCGCAGCCGTCCAGCCGTCCAGCCGTCCGACCGTCCAGCCGTCCGACCGTCCAGCCGTCCAGCCGTCCAGCCGTCCGACCGTCCAGCCGTCCAGCCGTCCAGGCATCCATCCAGCGAGCCAGCAGCCATGGGGGCGATGACGTCGTCTCTCGCGGCGAAATTCGCCTTCTTCCCGCCGACACCGCCGTCGTACGCGATAGTGGAGGACCCGGTAACGGGCAAGCTGCAGTTCGAGGACATCGCGCCGCAGGAGAACGTGGAGGTCACGTTCCTGGACACGGCGCGCGGACAGCGCATCGCCGCCATGTTCGTGCGCAACCCGCGCGCGCGCCTGACGGTGCTGTACTCGCACGGCAACGCCGCGGACCTCGGGCAGGTGCACGACCTCTACGTGGAGCTCAGCAACATGCTGCGAGTTAACCTGCTCGGGTGAGCGCGCGTTAATCTGCTCGGGGGAGACGGGGGAGTCAAACTGCTAGCGTGAGAGCGGGAAGGGAGAGGGGAAGGGGGGGGAGGAAAGGGGGGAGGAGAGGGATGCGAGCAAGGAGAGAGGAAGGTGGAAATGCGGAAGCGGCGGTGTAGAAAGGCGGGGGAGGGATAGCGGCGAAAATGGGGGTGCTGCTCCTGAGACGGACGCGACGTACGGTTCGTGTCTCTGTACAGAGGGAACGAGGGAAGATGGCTGGAAGAAACCATGCGTGAGGAGATGGAACGAGGAGATGGCTGTCAAAAATAGCCTCTGAACGGGGACGATGGCTGGAAGGAACGAGGCGATTAATCTTAGAACTGGTTAGGTTTATGGTGGGAAGCGAAGGTGGTCCTTTTAGGGTTTCTCGACTCGAGCCGTAGGAGGAGGTGCGTGCCCCCCATGCAGCAGCGCGTGCCACCCATGCAGCAACGCGTGCCCCCCATGCAGCGACGCGTGCCCCCCATGCAGCAACGCGTGCCCCCCATGCCAGCAACGCGTGACCCCCATGCCAGCGACGTGTGCCCCCCATGCAGCAACGCGTGCATGCGTGCGTGGTGCGAAGAGGAGGAGGAGGTGCTGGGTAGAAGAGGAGCCGAGCAGCAAACCGCCGCCCATCTCAGAAATCCCATGTACCCTGACCTGGAAGGCCGTTCACCTGCTCTCTGTTGCCCTCGCCACTCGCACCTATCCCAATCAAGCAGCTTCTGCTGGACTTATCCCCCCTCTCTGCCGTCTCCGCCCTTTCCGCCCTCTCCGCCCTCTCCCCTTTCCGCCCTCTCCCCTCTCCCCCCTCCCTCCCCCCCCTCCATTCCCCCCACACCACTCCACTACTCCTCATTCTCCCCTCTCTCATTGTCTCTTTTCCACTGGCCATGCGTGTTGCGTGTACCGAGTGGGGGGTGGGGGATTTTGTTCGCCTGTCTGTGCTCTTGTGTGTGCTCTTGTGTGTGCTCTTGTGTGTGCTCTTGTGTGTGCGCTTGTGTGTGCCCTTGTGTGTGCCCTTGTGTGTGCCCTTGTGTGTGCGCTTGTGTGTGCCCTTGTGTGTGCTCTTGTGTGTGCTCTTGTGTGTGCTCTTGTGTGTGCTCTTGTGTATGCTCTTGTGTGTGCTCTTGTGTGTGCTCTTGTGTGTGCTCTTGTGTGTGCTCTTGTGTGTGCTCTTGTGTGTGCCCTTGTGTGTGCCCTTGTGTGTGCCCTTGTGTGTGCTCTTGTGTGTGCTCTTGTGTGTGCTCTTGTGTGTGCTCTTGTGTGTGCTCTTGTGTGTGCCCTTGTGTGTGCCCTTGTGTGTGCCCTTGTGTGTGCTCTTGTGTGTGCTCTTGTGTGTGCCCTTGTGTGTGCTCTTGTGTGTGCTCTTGTGTGTGCCCGTGCGTGTGCCTGTGCGTGTGCCCGTGCGTGTGCCCGTGCGTGTGCCCGTGCGTGTGCCCGTGCGTGTGCCCGTGCGTGTGCCCGTGCGTGTGCCCGTGTGTGTGCTCGTCCGTGCTTGCCAATCACCTGGCAGGTATGACTACACCGGCTATGGGGCGTCATCTGGCAAGGTATGCAAGTCCCAGTCATTTTACACCCCTTCTAGTTTTGAGGCGCCTCAAAGCTAAACTATGGGGAGTCATCTGGCAAGGTATGCAAGCCCCATACATTTCACACCCCTTCTCCAACGCCCTGCATGCTTCTTCCTGCACCAGTCTGCTGCCCATGCCTCCCCCTCCCTCCTTTCAGCTATCCCACTCACCGTCCCACCTCTCCCTCTCTATCTTCCTCTCCTGCTTTCTGCCCGCTCCCTCCCCCCCACACCCCATATTCTTCCCCCAACCCCCCCCCTCCCCCCTCCAGCCAACAGAGTTCAACACATACACGGACATAGAAGCCGCCTTCACATACCTCACCGCACAGCACCGCATCCGACCAGAGGACATCATTCTGTATGGCCAGTCCGTGGGCAGCGGGCCCACCGTGGACCTGGCTGCGCGCACGCCGCGCCTCCGAGGCGTGGTGCTCCACAGCCCCATCATGTCGGGGCTGCGCGTTCTGTACGAGGTCAAGTCGACCTTCTTCTTAGATATCTTCACTGTGAGTCGGTGTGGTGTGGATGGCAGTGGCAGTGGCAGTGGCAGTGGCAGTGGCATGCATTGCAGTGGTACTGTGAGCGACAGCGGGGGTTTGGGGTGAGCCGGGGAGGCGTTCGGGGAAAGGGAGGGCAGGGAGTTACTAGGAATTGCAGTGGGGTTCGAGGGTTTGGGTTTGGGGGGGGGGACGGGATGGGGGGTTGGGGCGAGGGGTGGTGGGGACAGGGGCGGAGACGACGTAGGGACAACTGGGCGCGTGGTTGAAGGGACAGGGAAATGGGGCGGGCAGGGGATATATGATGACTCGTACAGCGCACCTGAAAGCATGAGTGGAGGGGGTTGTATTGTAAGAGCGCTCTACCCTTGCTGGATCATGAACTGCAGTGCAGTGCAGTGCAGTGCAGTGCAGTGCTGCAGGTGATTTTTGAGTCGACTCAAAGATGATGCTGAGGGGCTTGCACGCAGGTGATTTTTTAGTCGACTCAAAACACATCATGAAGTGCAGTGCTGCAGATTGTTGTTGTTGTTGTGCATCATCATAACGTTTCACATCACACCATTGTTTTTCTTGTGCCTTCCTTCTACAGTTATACCTGCTCATCGCCTCCTCCTGATTCTCCCTCGCCCCCCGCTCTCTCTCGCGCGCCCCCCCCCCTCCCCCCCCTCCCCCTCTCTACTAACCCCCTCCTTGTCATCAGAATATTGACAAGCTTCCCAAAGTGGAGTGCCCTGTCTTCGTCATGCACGTGAGTCAGTCAACTGAAGTCCGTTCCAGTCCGTGGTGGTCCATGCTGCTCCCCCCCTGCACTCCTCCCCCTGCACTCCTCCCCCTGCACTCCTCCCCCTGCACTCCTCCCCCTGCACTCCTCCCCCTGCACTCCTCCCCCTGCACTCCTCCCCCTGCACTCCCCCCCTGCACTCCTCCCCCTGCACTCCTCCCCCTGCACCCCTCCCCCTGCACCCCTCCCCCTGCACCCCTCCTCCTGCAGCTCTCCCCCTGCACCCCTCCCCTGCACCTCTCCCCCTGCACCTCTCCCCCTGCACCCCTCCCCCTGCACCCCTCCCCTGCACTCCTCCCCCTGCACTCCTCCCCCTGCACCCCTCCCCCTGCTCCCCTCCCCCTGCTCTCCTCCCCTTGCACCCCTCCCACTGCAGCCCTCCCTCTGCTCCTCCTCCCCCTGCACCCCTCCCCCTGCACCCCTCCCCTTGCTCCCCTCCCCTTGCTCCCCTCCCCCTGGACCCCTCCCGTTGCACCCCTCCCCCTGCACCCCTCCCCCTGCTCCTCCTCCCCCTGCACCCCTCCCCCTGCACCCCTCCCCCTGCTCCCCTCCCCTTGTAGCCCTCCCCATGCTCCTCCTCCTTCACACTACCACAAAACATCTCCCTGGTTCTCTGCCTACACGCTTCTCCCCCGCACCCCCTCCTCTCCCCCCCTCCACACCTCCTTCCCCCGTCGCCCCGCTTCCCCCAGGGGACAGCAGACCATGACACAGATGTCTCCCACAGTATGTTATCAATCTTTTTCTTAGTCAACTCAAAAATAGACCCATGTCAGTCGCAGATGTGTCCCACGGCAGGCGGCTAGCCGCGTGTGCAAGCACTGCAGCAGTGGGTGTGTTTGAGAATTCTCAAACTGCACTGACAGCAGTGGCCTTGCAGTGGCTGTGCGTTTTGAGAATTCTAAAAAACCAGCGCCCCTTTGCTTTTCTGAATCCTGCTCGCCCCTACCCCTCCTCTCCCCTCCCCTCCCCTCCCTCGCCCACCCCCCCCCTCCCACTCCCCCGTTGACAGCAGACGATGTGGCAGACATGTCCCATGGTCGCAGGCTAGAGTGGAGTCATTTTTGAGAATTCTAAAAAATGACTCCCTGGCCCCCCCCCTCCCACCTCCCCCCCCCCCGTTGACAGCAGACGATGTGGCAGACGTGTCCCATGGTCACAGGCTAGCCGCGATCTGCAAGCGCCCTTCGACCCGCTGTTCATCGAGGGGCGCGGCACTGCAACACCGCCACGTGTTCTTCCCCTGCACTTCCCCCGTGTGTTCCCCCCAGCGACCTGGCATTCTTCCCCTGCACCTCCCCACGTGTTCCCCCCACCCGCCCCCTCCCCCTCCCCCGCCGCTGCTGTCCCCCAGGGCACGGCAGACGATGTGGTAGATGTCTCCCACGGCCATGGTTTCATGGCCTAGCAGCCGCATGCAAGCGCCCCTTGGACCCGCTGTTCATAGAGGGTGGGCAGCACTGCGACCTCCTGTGAACCTCCGCACCCTTCCCTTGCTTCCCTCCCCTATTCGCCCTCCCCCCAGGGCACGGCAGACGATGTGGTAGACGTACGTGTCTCACGGCCGTAGCTTAGCTGCCGTGTGCAAGCGGCCCTTTGACCCGCTGTTCATCGAGGGTGCGCGGCACTGCGACCTGGAGTTCTTCCCCCAATACCTTCCCCCCCCTCCCGCCCCCTCCCCATCCCCTGCCGATGCTATCCCCCCAGGGCACAGCAGACGACGTAGTGGATGTGTCGCACGGTCGTGGCTTAGCCGCGGTGTGCAAGCGCCCGTTTGACCCGCTGTTCATCGAGGGTGCGCGGCACTGCGACCTGGAATTCTTCCCCGAGTACCTGAAGCAGCTGCGGCGCTTCATTGCCTATGTGGACCAGCACCCACCGCCGCCCGTGAAAGAGGGCGAGGAAGAGGACATTGCCAGGCGTGGGAAGAAGGTGCGTGGTGGGAAGAAGGTGGGTGGTGGAAAGAAGGTGGGTGGTGTTGCTGGGATGGTGGTTAACAAGCGGCTCAGGAAAGCGAGGAAGAGGTTATTGCAAGGCGGGGAGCGCAGGTGGGTGGTGTGTTGTTGGGGGTGGTTGGGATAAGGAGGTAACGGGTGAGGAGCGGAGGAAGGGGGGTGAGGGTATGTGGGAGGGGGGGAGCAGGGGATCAGAAGGAGGTGAGGTGAATAGGAGCGGAGGGAAGGAGGGCGATAGGGACAAGGCACTGACAAGGCACTGCTATCCTCCATCAAACTTGCAAGCAGCCCTGGTTTTTATATGGTCTGCATGGACCTAGCAGCCCTGTTTTCTATATGGTCTGCATGGACCTAGCAGCCCTGTGAGTGCTCCGTCTTTGTTGCCTGCGCACCTGTCTAATGTGACCTTTTCCACCCACTTTTTTTTAGGCGCCTCAAAAAACACCGGTCTAATGTGACCTTTTCCACCCACGCTTCTAATCTGCTACACTACACAGACCATGTCATTTGTGTGCTACACTACACAGACCATGTCACCTTGGTCATTTGTGTCCTCACTCACTCACTCATCACTCACTCATGCACTCACTCACTCATCACTCACTCACTCATGCACCCACTCTCTCTTTCTCACCCACTTGGAACGTGCACTCTCTCTCTCACATCTCATGCTCTCTCTTATCCCACTTCTGCTCCCCACCTCTCCTCTCTCCCCCCCCCTCACCCGCATGCATCAGAAGCCTTCTTCCTCCGGCTGGACAACACCTCTCGTGGGCCTCCGCTCCCTCCTCTCCTCTCCCGCTCGCACCCCCTCCTCCACTTCCTCCTCGCATTCTGGGACCCCCCTCCGTGCATCTGCCAGCGCCCGATCCCCTCTGCACTTCTTCTCCTCTCCTGCAGCCTCTACCACCACCACCACCAGTGGTGGCAGTGGTAGAGGGAGCAGTGGCACTGATGGTGATGCTGACGTTGATAATAAGCCTGGCAGCGGCAGCAACTTGAATGGTAATAATGCTGCTGGTGCTGGTTGTGCTGGGGCTGGTGCTGGTGGTGCTGCGGCTGGTGCTGGTGGTGTTTTAGGTGGCTGGAGAGCGCGCCTAGGCCGGCCATATAAGGCACCGATTTCGGAGCTAAAGCAAAATGCTGCTGCTGCTACTACTTCTACTACTACTGACAGTAGAGGCGGAGATGGTCTTGCAGACGCAGCAGAAACAGCCGATACAGCAGTAGTTGCGGCCACAGCAGCAGCAGCAGCAGCGAAGGATGCAGCAGCCCGCCCTGCAGCGGCATCGGGAGAAGACGCAGTAGGCGTGAAAGCATGAATTGGACTCTGGGAGCAGCCTGCCTTGCTCAAACATCCACCAGAGAAGCACGAGGGATGTAGGAAAAACTCATATTACTGCCTCAGACTCTGCTGCTGCTGCTGCTGCTGCTACTGCTGCTGCTGCTGCTGCTGCTGCTGCTGCTGCTGCTGCTGCTGCTGCTGCTGCTGCTGCTGCTGCTGCTGCTGCTGCTGCTGCTGCTGCTGCTGCTGCTGCTACTGCTGCTGCTGCTGCTGCTGCTGCTGCTGCTGCTACTGCTGCTGCTGCTGCTGCTGCTGCTGCTGCTGCTACTGCTGCTGCTGCTGCTGCTGCCACTCTTGCTGACGATGCGGCTGCTGTTGCTGCTGCAGCAGCAGCTGTCAGTGCACGGAAGCAGCAAAGCCAAGACTCGAGCACACGTGGCGCAAGAGCACACACACACACACACCACACGCACACTCGGTAGTAACTCTAGGGATCTCAAATGGGCCTAGAATACTTGTTCCTATAGCACAAACGATTCCCTCTAGGCTTAGAGCACTGCAGGAGGAGCCTGCAGTGGTTATTGTTAGTGGCCTTGGCCGTGTGCTTTGGCCGTGACCAGTATGCCGCATTCTCCAACCGTGCTGCTGAATTAACGCGGTGAGTAGCATTCCGGAAGATATTCTTCAAAGAACCTAGTAGTAAGGTATCACAACACTTGCTGCGTGCTGTTTATGTTAGTGCTTCGGTTTGAGTCGCCCTGTAGGGGCCCATGAGTCTGGTCCATATTTGATGCAGAGCAGCAGACCCAACAACACATGCTGGGAGTGGTACGGCATATGTGCATCATGTGTGAACTCTACCTAACCCAACCCAACTCATAGTCAAACCCGTTCTCACATAGGGATGTGTTACATTGTTCTCCACGGGCTAGTGTCAAGTTATCGTACGGTAAGAGATACGACAGTTACAAGGTGGTCCATGCATACACAACACAAGCCTATTGATTACTGCATTTTCAATCATGCATAGCTACCACATAACATAGCATTCGACTAAATCAAGCAATAGTCTATTGTAGTTGACATCACCGTAACACGAGCCAGCGAATCAGAGCGAAACCGAGAAAGCCGCTGCCAAGCCAGCCAAGCCAACCAACTGTACCACAGCTTGCATAAGCGCACAGCGGCTAGAGCAATTCCTTTCCAATCTAATGAGCTAGAGTAGAGCACCCAAAGGTCCCCCCCTGCCATACCAACACCCGCCCTCGATCCCTCAGAGTACCACCCCACCCCACCACCTCCGATATTCCATGTGTGCTCAGCACCATGCGAGCTCGCTCTCACTCCCCAACCCAACCCAACAAAACAATGGCGTACCCCAACCCCTCCTCCCCCCACCCATCTCCCCCCTCCCTGGAAAAGCCCCCCCACCCTCCCTGCCCCTCAGTACCATTGGCCGCTTGGCCTCTTAGGCAGCCACCCTCTCTGAGTGCTCGCCTTGAAGTCCCAGTGGTACGTGTCTGCGGTACCGATGGGATAAGTGGGGAAGGGGGGAGGGGGGAGGTAGGGAGACGAGGGGGTGCAGGGAAGGGGGGGAGGAGGGGGGGGTGGAGGGAGAAGGAAGTCGGGTGAGGGAACGGGGATGGCCAGGTGGGGCATCTGTGTGTGTGCATGAGAGGATTGAGTGTGGGCTATCAACCGCTCTGTTGGAATCGGGTAGGGAGGAGAATGAGGGACTGTGAAGCACCAGCACCAGCACCAGCACCAGCACCAGCGCCAGCACCAGCACCAGCCCTAAAAAACAGGCTCTGAATCAAGTCGCACGCACGCACGCACACCCACACCCACACACGCCGCCGGCAAGCACACACTAGACTGTTTTGACCTCGAGGGGCCAGAAAAACAACCCATGCCGGCCTCGGCTTTGGGCCGCCTCTGAATCAGACAGACTCAAAAACAGGCTCCTGAATCAAGAGACTCGTAAGGGGCTCGGAATCGGGACACTCACTGGACTTCTTGATCTTGAGCGACCAGAAGAACCAGCCCGCGCCGGCCTTGCCGAAGGTCTGCATCTGCGTGAGCGAGAACTGCTGCTGCTCCGCCGCTGTTGGGGAGCCGTACTTCATGGCATTGCTGAACTCGCCGATCAGCAGCGGCCGCCCGAACTGGAGAGAGAGAGGGGGAGGGGGAGAGGTGGAAGAGTGGGGGAATGTTTAGTTTTGACACGCCTCAACACACCGAGTGGTGCACTTCATGGCGTTGCTGAACTCGCCGATCGGCAGTGGCCGCCCGAAGTGGAGAGGGGGGGGGGAGGCGGAATGGGGAATGTTTAATATTGACGCGCCTTAAACACAGAGTGGCGGAGTGGAGTACTTCATGCTGGTGATCAACTCGCCGATCAGCATAGGCTGCCTGAACTGGTGGGGGATGAGTGGGTGGGGGGATGGAAGGAGGGGAAGGGGGGCGGTGGTAGGCTGTGAGAGCGGTTTGACATGGAAAGAGCATTAAAGATCGAGCGTGTGAAAAAGAAACGCACACCAAACCACACCCACTCACACACCCCGCACTTTCTGGTATCCTCGGTCCTCTTCCTCTTCACCCAGGCTATTCTTATGAGTCCACTCAAAAGCACACACACGCAGACACCCACACACACACACACACACACATGCACACACCCTCACCTTCTGGTAGTTGGTGATGTCCCCGCCCCACTTTGACTGCGTCCACGCGATCTCCTCGCTGGCGGACGCGAACTCGGTGCTCTGGAAGACGTTGTAGAAGTGGCTCTCCACGAACGTGTTGGGCTCGTTGATCGTCGACATCACGTCAAAAGGGCTGTACTGCCCCTCGATCGACACGTACGCGCACGGGCTGTACCTCCGGATGATGTTGAACGCCTGCGTGTAGTACGTCTGAAGGGGGAGAGAGATGGGGGAGAACGGAGGAACGGAAGCTGAACGCTGGTGGGTGGTGGACACAGGAGAGGATTGCGTACTGGCGGGCTGTATTGCCGAATGATGTTTGTAGTATCTCCCCCCATCCTAACCCCCCATCACCAGTGCAAGCCACCCACCTTGAGCATGGGCAGCGGCACGACCAAGCTGGGGTCGTTCATGAGCTCCATGTCAAAGCATGCATGAGGAGTTCGTGCACTCATGAGCACCTATCACGCATGAGGAGTCTATTTTTGAGGCGCCTCAAAAATAGTCTCAAAGCACACCCGCTCCCATCCCATCCCATCGCACGCCATCCCCCCCCACCCTCCCCAGCACCCCCCCCCCTGACGCACCTTGAGCATGGGCAGTGGCACGTCGAGGCTCGGCTCGTTCATGAGCCCCATGCCCATCCACGCGGGGTTGCTGCCATACCGCTTTGCAATCCACTGCACCGCCTGCAGCGTCTTCGCCTTGTTCCCCGGCTTGGCGAAATCCGCGTACCCGAGCCGCGACCCGAACGTGCCCGACTGCGTCCCGGCCACCATATGCATGCTCAGAAACACCCTGATCCCGTATTTCGACCCCATTCGCATCGCCCAGTCGAGGTGTTTCCCCATCCCCGCAACGAACGGGAAGTCCGGGCGCGGCTGGTAGACGTAGTACGGCACGGGCACGCGCACAGTGTTGATCCCCTGCGAGCGCATGTACTGCCAGTCGGCCTCAGTGACGAAAGTGGCTCGGATGTTCTCGATGCGCCGCGTCTTGGCGCCCTGCAGCTGGTACGCCAGCTGCCAGTCGTACTTGATAGTCTTGATCTGGGGGGGGGGGGGGGGGGGAGGGGGAGGCGGAGGGTGCGCGCAAAGGGGATGGGGGCAACGACAGGGGTGAGGGCGTCAGGTGGGGGGACGGCAAGGCGGCGAAGCAAGGTGCCCTGCAGCTGGCAGGCTAGCTGCAGTCGTACTTGATGGTCTTGATCTTGGGGGGGTGTTGGGGGCGCGGGGGGTGCGCAATGGGGGTGAGGGCAACGGCGTGGGGGCAACGGGCGTGGGGGCAACGGGCGTGGGGGCAACGGGCGTGGGGGCAACGGGCGTGGGGGCAACGGAGGCGCCGCACAATTGGGGAGCGCGCGCAACGACAGGAGCGAGGGCGCCAGGTGTGGGAAGGCAAGGCGGCGACGCAAGAGTCAGCAACGCAAGGCAGCAACACCCAGCAGCCCCCCCCGCAAGGAGAACCAAAAGAGAAGACGTACGATCTTGATGTTGAACGCGAGGTTGGTGCCGAAGGTGGCGGAGTCGCCCAGGTTCACGAGGTCGGGGCTGCCGGTGGCCGTGAGGCTGCCGTCGCTGTTGCCCTCCAGGTAGTATCCGTTGGGCGCGCGGATCACGATCTGGTTCGAGTCGCTCGGGTTCACCAGGATCGTCCACATGGTCTGGAGTGGAAAAGGGGGGAAGGGAAGGGGAAGGGGGAAGGGGATGGGGGATGGGGGATGGGGAAGGGGGAAGGGGGAAGGGGGAAAGGAGAAGGCGGAAAGGGGGGAGGGGGGGGGGGGAAGGAGAGCGGGAGGGAGTGAGAGCAAGGAGCGACCGGGAGGACAGCCAGAGTAGCCGTTAGGCGTACCCCGGGAGTTGAGGGGGGCGAGATGTGGTGGCGGGGGGAGCGGGGGAAGGGGGAGGAAGGGGGTTGGGGATGTAGGTTTGGATTTGGAAAGCATGCAGGGTGCTTGCGCGTTTGTGTGTACGAGACATGGCCTTAGCTTGCTTGACGCTCATTGGTACGAAGGACGAAACGAGGGTGGTGAAGGGAAAGGGGACCAGGGGCCGGGGGACGCAGGAAACGGCGCAAAACGCGTAGCTAGCATGGTACGCAAGACCGAACCATAGCGCGCAGCACAACGCATCGCCCCACCCCACCCCACACCACACCACACCACGCCACCTCACGTCCGGTACTCACGCCTGCGGTCATCTTGAGCGACTCGGCCGTGGGAGTGGTGAAGCCCGCGCCCAGATTCATGTACAGCTTGAAAGGGGACAGCAGCTGGGGGAGGGGGGAGGGGGGGGGGGGGGGGGGGAAGGGCG